CGGGACTGTTGATGCCTATAGATAGCAGCACTTCCAAGAGGCTGGGTATAAAATCCCCAGCACTGTACAAAGCTGAGATTTCCAAGCCTTATTTATTGGTGTTACTGATTGCAATCCTGCCATGGGCAGAAGGAAAGCAGGCACAACTCACAATGCCTATTGGAGCATCTTCCCAGGGTTCAGCTGGGAGTGAGACTTGGTTGAGAAACCTTTGCCCAGTTCAGCATCAGGAGTTAAGATTCAACAAAGTCTGTTGGGATGATTTTTTCCACTTTGGCTGGGTGGCTGCTTCCTCTAACATGGTTGGAGGGAAGGAGGAAGGAAGGAAAGGAAAGGAAAGAAGGAGGGAGGAAGGAAGGGAGGAAGGGAGGGAGGAAAGGGAGGAAGGAGGAAGGGAGGAAGGGCAAGGAACAAGGGAGGGAGAAAGGGAGAGAGAGAGAGGAAGGAAGGAAGGAAGGAAGCAGGGAAAGAAAGGGAGGGAGGAAGGGAGGAAAGGAAGGAGGGAGGAAGCGAGGAAGGGAGGAAGGGCAAGGAACAAGGGAGGGAGAAAGGGAGAGAGAGAGGAAGGAAGGAAGGAAGGAAGGAAGGAAGGAAGGAAGGAAAGGCAGGGAAAGAAAGGGAGGAAGGGAGGAAGGGAGGAAAGGAAGGAGGGAGGAAGCGAGGAAGGGAGGAAGGGCAAGGAACAAGGGAGGGAGAAATGGAGAGAGAGAGAAAGGAAGAAAAGGCAGGGAAAGAGAAAGGGAGGGAGGAATGGAGGAAGGAAGGAAAGAAGGATACAAATAGCAAAAAGTACTCCATCTTCAAAATCATCTTCTTGATTCTGTTCTGCTACAACCTGATTCTAACAACTATTTACTATAGATCTGACCTGTTTCCACCCACCTTGTAAGGAGACCATAATGAGTTGCAACCAATAATCTTCTAGATCTCATTTCAGTGAAGGGCAGTTCATCAACTCTGCCAACTCCCTCTATCATGTCATCACAATCACACCCTGTGAGTGCCATTTCCATTTGAGGACTTCCTTAATCCTCCTATCAGATGATCGCCGAACACTTGACTGTGTTTGTGTCATACACAACAAGAGTCTCTTTGTAAAAGCCAAGGGCAAAAGCTCTCAAAAGCCTCTGGGGGAACATGTGGAACCAGTTGTCATTTTCATCACAACAACAGCAAGACAGAAGCCAAAATAGGAGTATGGAAAAAACAAAGGGTGTGGTACACTGAGTTTGGAGGGCTTTGACTGGGTAGTCAGGGCAGCCCATTTGACTTTTTTCAATACTCCTCCTAAAGACACTCCTTAATGCAAGGGTATCCTCCCAAAATGGCTCCTCCTCCTCCTGCTCCTGCTCCCCTCCTTCTCCTGCTCCTGCTCCTCCTCCTCCTCTCTGTAAGCTGCACTCTCTTATCACTGATGATGTTACCTAGCTGGGTCATGAAACGTCTGCAAGAAAACCACCAACCTCAGAGAGCACTAAGGACTACACAGACCATCATCTCCCCCCCCCAACTCTTCCTCCTCCTCCTCTTCCTTCTCTCTGCAAACCCCATTCCCTTCTAGCACTGATGATGTTACCTAGTTGGGTCATGAAATGTCTGTAAGAAAAAAACCAAGCTCAGAGAGCACTAAAGACCTCACAGTCCTCCTCCTCCTCCTCCTCCTCCTCCTCCTCCTCCTCCTCCTCCTCCTCCTCCTCCTCCTCCTCCATACAAACCCCTCTAGCACTGATGATGTTATCTAGTTGGGTCATGAAATGTCTGCAAGAAAACCACCAAGCTCAGAGGGCACCAAGGCCCCCAACCTACACATATCCTCTTCTATTCATATTAATAAAATAAATAGCTATGCCTGCTTATGGTATTCTGGGAATACTTAGGCCATCATGGGCCTCCTGTGTGAAGCAGCCCTCTTTCCAGGTGGTTTCTACCCGTGAGTTGCCTTTTCACCCCCATTTGCCCCCTAATTCTGATTCCTGTCAAAGAAAACATTGGGATGGGCCAGCGTCAACTTGTGATGAGATGGGCGGCAAACAAATGTAATAAATAAATAAATTATATAGGGCTCTTCACTCCATAGCAATGTCCCTTTCCCTCCCCCTGGTTCCTTCAACATCAGAAAGGTCTAGGGGAGCTGCAGCCGTCTCTAAAAAAATTCCAGCCAAAACTGCTCTCAGTAGAAACGTTTTGTTTCTCTGTAGCTGTTGGCTTGTCTTCCATTCCAGCTCAACATCTGGATCCATGTGTGGGGGAAAGAATCAACTGCAAAGGATCTGGGCCACTTGACTTCCTGTGTGGCGGACAGCTATGCCTTTAATATCAGTGAGTGTCTTCCATCCAAGGATGAGATGTTGGCCACCTGCCTACAAGCCAAACATCCCTATTATGGTTGCAACAGACTCTAGTTCTTTGGCGTTCTTCCTTTGAGAAGTTCAGAGATGCTGTTATCTTTCTCAAGGAACATGGCTGAGGAGGGAAGAACCTTTGTCACCAACTGCTCTCGGCTCCTTCGGCCACTGATTGGCCCTGCCAAGTTCTTCTTCTCTCCCAAACCCTGTAGTCCACTCAGGATCATTCGCGTGTCCCCCTCCTCACCCTGACACCCAAAGCAGACGCTGGTGTGTGAGTCATTCCACTTTTTCTGCACTTCTGAGCAGACTAGCAAACCATGCTTTTAGTCAATGGGGTGTACGCTTCAAAAAATTATTATTTTGACAGATTTTGATTCTATTTCTCTTCAGGAATTGGGGGCAACCGATATTCCCCACAAGTAGGCCGACTCAGAAAAAAATGAGCAGATTCTGGAAGACTGTGGGCTCCCACAGCCCAATACTAACCCTCCGTTCCATCCATTTTCTTTTATTCAAATACCCACCACAGTAGGTAAGGTTGGATCTTTGAATCTTGCTTCAAGAGACGAACATAAGAGGCACTTTGTTAAAGCTGCCCCATGGATTTGCACCCCAAACTTAGAACATAGAATCATTGGGCTGGAAGGGACCTCAGACCTCCTGCTAATAGTAGGAGCCTCATACCATCCGCAACCTCTTCTTGGAAGCCTTAATGATGGAGCACCCACAACTCCAGGAGACAAGCTATTCAATGACTGATTGTTTTCACTGTCAGGAAATTTACCCTTAGTTCTAGTTTGAATCTCTCTTTAACAAGCTTCCATTGAATGCTTTTTATCCTGCCTCCCGACTCTTTATCATCCATTAAATTATTTTTTATATTTGTGGCCCATTAAACATTGTCCATGCAAACCCACCCCTTTTTCTTGTGTGGCTCAAAACAGCATCCTGGCCAGGATGATGTCCGATCATCACGGAGGAATCAATGAATTTGTTTTGGCCCTGAACGCTCTCAAACCTGATGAGTAAATTTGCAAAGGAGCAGGATGCCAACAATTCCACCCCAATCCATCCAGGGAGCTATGGGGTGGTGTTTCTGAATCCTGAACACACAGGCTCCTGCCTAAAAAAATTCCTACCGAATTGCGATGGGTCTCATGGTTGTTATTTTTGGATGGCGCATCGCCCACCCAAGTGGTTAAAAAAAGAGGGAGAATCGTGATCACTTCTACAAATCTCTCCCTGAGACAGGGATAAGGGTGAATTTCCTACCTACCACAGCTATCAACCTTTTCTAGGCAGTTTACGATAAAGCCATAAAACCAAGGTGAAAACCATGAATATGAAAAATGAATTGAAGCCATCCATGGTTAAAACAAACTCTGCCCAGAATGTCCCATTTTAAGAGCCTTTTGAAGAGCCAATAAGCAAATTATAACTCACCCCTGGCATCCCACAATGCAGCACTGAACACCTGCCATTTAAAAACGTTCCCAGAGGGTCATCTGCAGCATCCAAGTTAGTCCAACAGCAGCTAAGTGGAGGTGAGAATGAGAGTGAGATGGGCAGTACCAACATTTGATGAACAAACAAGTAAATAATTTCATTGCTCTCCCCATTTTTCTGGAATGGCTTCTTCTAACTTTAATCTCTCTCTCTCTCTCTCTCTCTCTCTCTCTCTCTCTCTCTCTCTCTCTCTCTCTCTCTCTCTCTCTCTCTCTCTCTGTCTTGCCCTCTTTCTCCCCTTTCTCTGTTTTTGTCTGTCTATTTATCTCTCTCCCTCTCATTCCCCCCCTCTGTCTATCTCTGTCTCCGTCTCTGTCTCTGTCTCTGCCTCTCTCTCTCTCTCTCTCTCTCTCTCTCTCAATTTATTTGCCCCTCCTGTTTTCACAGTAAGACAGAGCAAAGCTGCAGTGGATATTTATACCATGGTGAGCCATTGCTGTTGGAAATGTTCTCAAGGTGCGCAGTTTTCTGGTTACTATCTCTTCAAGCAAAAACTGTCCGCCACAACGGGACTTCAAAGTCCTTCTTGGGTTTCCATTTGATGTTTGCTCCCATGAATGTCCATTTCTTGCTTTGGTGGGACGTATGATAGGAGTCTTCAGTCAAGATACCCGATAGTCACATATCTCATGGCAAGGATTGGTTCCTTGTGATGGCCGCCATCGGCCGTAAGCAATCTTAAGCATCACGAATGGAGGCAAATATATGGGTCCCAGTCTTGTGGAAAAATAAAGCCTTAAAAAATATAAGGACTTTTACGAAATTCCATGGGTGAAAGAGAGATCTTTATTTTTGCGCAAAAAGGTTCAGAAGTGATTTAACAATCAGCAAATTTCTGAACAAAGGGGGAGGGTCTAAACTAAAGCTTTATAGGTTTCTTTCTCTCAGGAACAAAGGAAGCATAGATGGAATCTTACATTGTATATGGAATCTACTTTTGTGTAACATTCAGATAGTTTCTCACACGTTTAGGTCCATTTCTCATGGGAATACAATGAAGGCAGTTTTTACTTTTATACAATGTTTCTAAATATGCATTAGGTCATTCACGTACTGTTAATACAGCTTTTGGCTAACATAGCTTTCTTTCAGAGATTATGCAGACACATGATTTTTGCTTTTAGTGATTTTTCATTATTATTATTATTTTACTTTATTCTTCTTTATTCTATGTTATTCTATTTCTTTCCCACTTTACCAGGATAGTGTTACAGAATCCAATCTGGATCCAATATGAGAGAAGTTCCCTAAGGATGGACTGAAAGCTCGGAAGACTAAATCTCTAGTCCCGGTGACTGACCTGGATTGGATCCTGCAATCTCAAGCTTTCTTTGTGTGGCTTAGGCTTGCTTTTCTTGACCTCTGGCTGTTCCTCTTGGAATATTGTAGAAATCAAACTCAACACCACTTCTCTCATTGCAATAAAGGAAACTCTAAGCCATACCACCCAACATCTGGACCAACAACTAGAGCACTTCAAGAAGAAGACTGAAAAGAGAGAAACCTTTTTTTTTTTTTTGGAAGGAGGAAGAAAAATAACTGGGGCTATTTAAGGACCAGGATCAACTCTGCAAAACTCCTGTTCATTGCAAGGAAGAGGCCCAGCCATGAGCTCCCGATGCAGGCCAGTTTCGGCCGTATTCTGCCAGAATCATAGCAAAATGAGAATAACAAGTTAGCCTTCCAGCCTGCATCATTTTTGCCTTAGCAACCAGGTAGCCAATGGGGAGAGGAGGAACTGTTGATGTTCCACAAGGTAGCTGGTAGGCGTGCAGATCCAGGGGAAGGGGCTGGAAAGATGCTTCAGAACTGATTTCTTTCCAATCGACCACCCGCTTCATCTCCCGGCTAGGCCGAAAAGCTGCCGCAGCAGAGTACCCCAAGGAGGCAAAGAGCGGTTATTCTAATTGGTTGTCATAAGAACAACCCCAGCTTCATTCTCCATTAATGACAAGAACCATCTAGCTTCTTCCATAGCCTCAAGGTCCGTTGGGTTTCCCAGGGATCTCCCTGCCCAGCCTTGGCCAGTTCCAGCTGGTTGAATTTTCGGAGATCTGTCAAGGTTGGGTAGGTCAAGATGGCTGGGAAGGGGTTCTTTCCTCATTCAGAGTGCCAGGATAAAAAGAAATGTCCACTTCTTGTCTTTGACACTGTCCCTCCCTCCCTCTCCCCCTCCCTCTCCCTCTCCCCCTCCCTCTCCCTCTCTCTCTTTATTTTTCCTTCCTTCCTTCCTTCCTCCCTCTCTCCCTTCCATCCTCCCTCCCTCCCTCCCTCTCTCTCTCCCTCTCCCTCTTTATTTTTCCTTCCTTCTTTCCTTCCTCCCTCTCTCCCTTCCATCCTCCCTCCCTCCCTCCCTCCCTCCCTCCCTCTCACTCTCCCTCCCTCCCTCCCTCCCTCCCCCCTCCCTTCCTGAAGAGAAAGAGAACCAGGAGATTGATTTTTTTTTTTAAAAAAAAAAAATGCTTGCGTCCATCTGTTTGGGGATCTGTCAGCTCATGGGATGACAACAATTTCCATTGCTGAATTCTGAGCGGATGCTTGTGATCCCGAGGCAGCAGGATGTTTGATGTTCCCAACTGAGAAACATCCCTCAGGATTCCTGTCAGAGCTGTCTCTCACATGGCCATGATTGCTGCTTTCATCTAGTCACATTTTTGCTTTGCCTTGATCCCCGTCTTTTTCTTCCTTTGTCTCTTTCGGGTTGTTGTTATCCGGGCTTTACCTTCTGTTAATGGCCTTTTTTGAGAGGACGTGGTGGGTTTGTCTTAAGCTGCTAGGAGCAGGGACAGCTGCAGGATGGGCAAAAAAGTCACGAGCGTCCATGAAATGAATGGTATATATATGTATTGTATATATATATCACATAACTCAGCAAGTACTTCCAGTATAAATTGGTTGGAGAATGAAAAAGGGAGAAGTCAAATACCTACTTTTCCAAGCTCCCCTCCCTCCCTCCCTCCCTCCCTCCCTCCCTCCCTCCCTCCCTCCCTCCTCCCCTCCCCTCTCTTTCTTCTGCCTCTCTCTCATCTCCTTCAACCTTATGTTTATTCACATTTTTGAAATTATATTCAACACCCATGTAAATCTTTTTCTTCTTACCTTATCTACATTTATTGCCCATTTATCTGAACTGATCTTTAATGTATCTGAACTATCCTAGTCTAAACAGTTACTACTTGATTCCAGGGTGCCCAGCTCATGTCTGTAGCTTATACTGAAAGATTTGCATCTTGTACCAAACTAAATCAATTACTTGGAGAGGGGGTGGAGTCAAGGGGGGGTTATGGAAGCCCGACCCTGTTGTGTTGGGTGAGGATTTGATCATAGAGCATTCTGGGTGGCATCTTGCCTTTGTTGATCCCTTCTACCTGACTCCAGCTTATGGGGCTCCAGATCTGCATGTACTCATGTCATTTCAATTTCATTTTATGCACAGGGAACTTAGTGGTGCATTACTCACAACCTCCCTCCTCACAGAGCGTAGCGTCGTTATTCCAATGGCAACATCTGCATTGAAAAAAACCAATCAGAAAGTTACCTACTTCATCAAGCCTGGTTCCTCTCCAAATCCAGCTACAGCGCCAGTTGGACCGAAAAAGTATGGCTTAATCAGTGCCAAATATAAAGGTGAGTTGGGTGCCATGGGAAAAGAAAAGCTGCTGAAATAGAAGAGTGTTCCTAATGATCAGGAAAGGATCATGGAGACTTGATATCTCCACAAATAGAGAATTGTCAGCCTGCAGACATTGGATCCAATATCTAGCCATTGCTTTATTTGTGCATGACCTCATCTGCCCAGCTCAGAATTATGGGATGAGACCACTAACAAACTAAGTACAGGAAAAGGAAAGGAGACATCATGTTTAATTTTTGGAAAGCATACCATACTATAGACTGGGAAAAACAGTGCATCATAGGGCAACATTTTTTTAATCAAGGTACCTCAAATGGGAAGCCACAATCTGGGACCCATGACTCCTGAGGGAATGAAATTTGGGGAAGTTGTGGCTGCTTCAGTGCTACTGGCTGCTGTTGCACTGCTGCTGTGATCTTTGTTTTCAACATTCTGTGACAGTTTCCCAGCCAGTCACGCAATCCCTCATTTCCTTCCCCATCTAGCGGCAGCCACTTATCTGCCTGCTAAGAAGGGAAGGGAAGGGAAGATTTCCAATGTTCCCTGCCAGATTCTCACAAGGAAACTCAATGGGGAAGCCAGCAGGAAGTTGGAAGTCACTCCTGCTCCCACTGGATTTTTGCTCATCTTTGGTCATTCTGTTTATTTGTTTAGATAAGGAAATATCTCTGAAATGATCACCCAACAGGGCACAGTTTTTCTAGTAGTGTTGCCAAAATTGAGCTTGCAGGAAAAGTGAGATGTTCCCTAGAGAACCTGGATGACCAAATAATTGATGCTCCCTAAAAAGAATGACCAGATCAAATCCTTTTGCTTTCTGCCAAGACTTTGAGTGTGACTACACTTGTCCTGTTGTGTTTCTAGGAAAGTGTTCTCTGATTCTCTGGTTGTGAGTTCCATGATCAGCTGATGGTTTTGATCCCATTTTAGGTCCAGGACCTGGGAAGTATAACCGACGACCTTGTACTGGTATTAAGAATCACGACTTCACTAAGTATACTGAGCCAGCTTTTACCATGCGTGTGAAGTCCAGCCCAAAAAGTAAGCAGGGAAAAGGATTCTGGAGCCTAAAGAAACTCACAAAGGATTCTTATTGATTCATGCTAATCATGAATGCATGAGTCCTAATCACCACACCAAGCAAAGTTTTCCTGTATTGTGCAATTTGTATTCCTGAGATGTACTATGTTTTCAGGCCCAAAATGAACAGAACTCGGGAGATCTGTGACCAAAACGCCTTTGTTCTTTTTTTAAAAGTCTCCATTTGAATGGGAGTAATGGCCCAGGACATAACCTACATTCTGTTATTCTCACCTTCATAGCAAAAATCAAAATAGAACTTTGGGGGTTTAAAAGACCCAGTCCAGAAGCAAACATACAGTGTCAAACCTTTGTATCATATGTATTTCAAACAGAATCTTCAACTAGCCCCGAATGAAATCAGATATGTGATGCAATTCACCACTCTAAGTGGCTCTTTTCAACGCTTTAGAGAAAATGAGGTCTTAAGGACATGGTGGAGGACTCAGTTGGGGCTTCTTCCGAAGACATTCTCAATGTAATGAGGTTATGACTGAAGTGGCCTTTATTCATAACCAAATCTTGTATGCCTGAAATCCCAGAGAAAGGCCTCTGAATTTATCTCAGTTAAGGGTCTCCAAACTTGGCAAATTAAGACTTGTGGACTTCAACTCCCAGAATCCCTCAGTTAGGGAAGTGGAAGTTGAAGTCCACAAGTCTTAAAGTTGCCAGGTTTGGAGACCCCTGATCTAAGTGAAGGATGATCAACCTGTGGCCCCTCTACCTGTTGAACTTTAGTTCTCACCAACAGTTCCTAGCTTGGCTAATGCTAAGGGTTGACAGGAGCTGCAGTTCACAAACAATTGGAAGACTGATCAGAATAATCAGGTATATATGGATGAGAGCAGTCCATATTTATTTAAACAGGATGTTCAGTTGGACTCAGCAACTGAGTAAGAAACTAAGATGGTATAATATTGAAGCCATGTGTTCCATATCTTTTGATGATTAGCAACGGCTATTTCCCCAAAGTTGTTCCAAAAATAAAGTCCTACTGAGAGTTTATTATAGCAGACTTTCTCAAGGGCTGGGAAAATGCTCCATCCTCCTTGCTAGAAGTTGATAAAAAGGTTGGATGGCCACCTGCTGGGAATTGAGTGGACTGAGTGGTTTCCTTTCTTGAGCAGATGACTCATAAAGAGCCGTTTGATTCATTCATTTCCCGAATCTGCAATTTTAGGATGGTAGCCCAAATAGAAGTTAATTGCCTCCTGAAAGACTGTGACCAGATTATTTGGAAAGTGGCCCTTCTTGTTTCCTCAAGCATTTTGGTAGCTAGATAAATGGATGGTCATTAGAACCGCATGAAGTAATCCAGAAAGCCAGGTTTGGCCTCATAAGACCATTCTTCTTTCCTTTGCAAGCAATCATGGTGCTGGAGAGCCCTGGACCTTGTTACTATGTGGATCCTAGCGTTTCCCGCTTAGGGATATGGAGGCCGGTATCATTCTTCATGCAACAGCGAGGAAAGAGCACAAGTAAGTTGCAAGTTGTAGATGCTTCCGTTGGTGGATGGGGTGAAGCTATGGGGAGAGAAAAAAAATCCTGAGAATGAAACAAACCTTTTCCCAGTCAATGTCAAAAGTGGCCACTCTTCGAAGTCACGAACGGGACAAAAAGATACTTAACTTCTTGCTATGCTGTGAAAAAGCTTGGGAACGCCAAGTTCAACCTTAATCAAAATGGAGAATCCCCACATTCACTTCCTTTGGCCTCGTTACTAGTTCCAACAACAGACCGAAGTGTTTTACAGGAACTAGGACCGTTCTTTTAAATGGGATTGGAGGATTTCAGAATAACAGAGTCGGAGGTCTTCTAATCCAACACCCTGCTCAAGCAGGAGACCCTCATTTCAGAGCTTGTGCAGGGGGTTGGGAGACCTCCAAGGTCCCTTCCAATTCCGTTATTCCCTTAGAGTCATTGCTAATAATAATAATAATAATAATAATATTCTCCGGCTTTCTAGCTATAGTGACAACTCCCGCTCCGAATGAGTATCATGTGGAGAAGTTGCACCCCATTGATGAACCGAATGCTCCAGTGTATACCATAGGTGCTCGAACGCCCTATTGGCTGAATAACCCAACTCCAGCTCCCAACAAATATGCGCTGCCTGGGACCCTGGGCACCAAGGTGCCCAATAAAAGGGCAGCTCCCTGCCTGTCGATCACTTCCATTGCTCCCGGACGAGATTATGTGGTGAGGAAAGGGCCTGGCCCAGCCGCCTACACTATTCCAGAGCCAGATGTTTACTTGCGACATCAGCCTTCCTATACAATGTCTCAAAGGTTCATTCCTTCCAGCAAGGAGCATACGCCAGGCCCACTGGACTATAGCGCAGAACAGGTCACCCTCCACAAGCCCAGAGCCCCATGCTTCAGTCTGGGTGTTCGCCACTCCGAATATGCCCATGGCACGCCTACGGTTTATCTCATCCAAGAATGAGCGTGGGCCACAATTGGAAGACAAGAAGATCTTCAGCAAGGTTCAGATGCCAAAGGTCTCATACCGGGAGAGCTTCATCTACTAGGTTAAAGCCAGCTGGTGGGCAGGGTAAGGTGAGAGAGAGTGTGTTAAGAAGTTGTGGGTGATGGTTCAGTTGGAACTCCAGGTCATTTTTCAGTCTATGGAAGCAAAGTTCTCCTTTGCAAAATCCTAGCCAAGTCCTTCCTGTCTTCTTTCTCATACTTCTGGAATCTAATGATAATATTTTTCAAGAAAGTGACTTTATCTATTGTTTACCCTTCCCTGTGGATTTATGGTTGGAAAAGGTTTCTCAAGAGAAGGGAGACAAATTGTCCTTTTTCTGGGATTATTTAAAGTGCAATAAAATAATTTGTAGATAATTAGTCCATAGCACACCTTCTTTGATGCAGAAATTCTTCTGGGCCTTGGGTTCTGCTGTCCATTTCAGGGAAGGAATTTGATTATTTCATCTAGAGATTGGATTGAATTATTTCTAAATACATGAAAATCAGTTGAGAATAACAATAATAACTTGGGGCTATCCGTATGCCCAAAAGTTGAACTACCAGAAGATGCTGGACTACATTTCCCAGCATCCCACATCATTGGCCAAGTTGCCTTGGCCTCCTGGAAATTGTAGTTCAGCAAGCACACTCAACACCAAGGAATATATACAATATGAAGTTTACTGTTAGGATTACAGATCTTCTCCAGAAGATGGCACCCTCGCCTTATGATTTTGGACTATATCTGGATGGCTTCCACTAAATCTCTACCTTTTGTAGGTGATAGCAACCCAACATGACAAGAAAACAAGGAGAAAGCAGAGCCTCCAGAAATAAACCGGCCCCCAAGATAAAGGGATGGGCCAGTGTTTATTCTGTGACTGCTCAGAAATGAAGATCCTGAAAGAAAGGATAGCACAACACACAGTATCCTAAGCCAACCTTATTCTTTAGTTATTTATGTTCCATCTGATGTCAACCCTTGGTTCATCAACTCCTCCACGGGTGGAATTCATGTTGACCTTATTTGGGTGGGAACTAAGCTATCATGATTTAAGATAAGATAAGATAACCTTTATTGTCATTTTTATACTGTGGGCACAATGGCACACATCAAAAATGAGATTTAGTTGCCCGCCCTCAAAGTGAAACGCATACATGACACACACCTAAACATACTATGAACAACATATGTATAGACCCACATCCCTACATATACGTATATTAAATACTGTCCATCTTGAATATATAACGGAAGGAGGAAGCTTGAGAGTTCACAAGGTTGATGCTGTATGGAATGAAACTCTGGCTGAATCTGGATGTTCTGCTACGGATACCACGGAGCCCCCTCCTCCCAGTAGGTAACAAGGAAAACAGGTCGTGAAGAGGATGTGTAGTGTCCCAGATAATCTTACGGACCCTGCTCAAGCAACGCTTCTGTGCTATGTCCTGGATGGGAGGGAGGGAACTGTCAATGATCTTTTCTGCGGTCCTCACCACTCTCTGCACAGCTTTTTGGAATTGGGGTGGGTGGACTCACCAGTCCTCTCCCGAATCTTTTCTGAAATGCTCACCTGGTTCTGGCCCTTTTTAGGTGCCTCTGTTGGTATGACAATAATACCAATCATAGAGAGTAGACTTTGTATGTTTCCATTACTGAAATTTCTCATTGTCCTACACTTAGAGAAGAGGAAGAAGGTCGCCCCTGGACCTTCCAACTTGTTTTTCCTTCTGTTTCCTTCATATAAATCAACATGGCTCGTCTGGAAGACTTTCTCTGAAGATATTTTTCTTCTGCCTTGAACTCTCCAACCGTTAGGTTACTTCTCCAAGCTTCCAGCTGCTTTCCTTCTCATACCCAAGACTCTAGAAATACAAAGTCTCTACTCCATAAAGCATATTTTCAAGCCTGGGTTTTTTCACTCAGGCTTGAAAATGTGCTTTATGGAGTAGAGACTTTGTATTTGCCGTGCTTTGCCGTGCGACGCCTCAAGCTCGTACGTTCATGAGAATGCTTGGAATATTCAAATCCTGCGCACATTAGGAAAGGTGCAACAGCCAGTTTGCAAGTACAAAAGACGCATTTAAGTGTGCCAGATAAAGTGTTACACTTAGGAAATAAACTCCGTAAATGTGTGTGCCTTTGGTGAACTTTGCTGGGTTCTTATTTACCACCATGGGTCTTGATTGACGAGAAACTGAACATCACAAATTGGGATTAGTTGCATACTATATGTACACACGCATACTCATATTTCTGTCTCCCTGTCTATCACCTATTTATTGATCTTAAATGATCTTATGGCCCAGAGAAAAATGAACAGAGAGCTGTGCATTATCAGATGGTGGAAAAGATGAATATAATTATGACCATGATGGTGAGGAAGGAGGAGGAGGAGGAGGAGGAGAAGAAGAAGAAGAAGAAGAAGAAGAAGAAGAAGAAGAAGAAGAAAAGAAGAAGTAGAAGAAGAAGAAGAAGAAGAAGAAGAAGAAGAAGAAAAGAAGAAGTAGAAGAAGAAGAAGAAGAAAAGAAGAAGTAGAAGTAGAAGAAGAAGAAGAAGAAGAAGAAGAAGAAGAAGAAGAAGAAAAGAAGAAGTAGAAGTAGAAGTAGAAGAAGAAGAAGAAGAAGAAGAAGAAGAAGAAGAAGAAAAGAAGAAGTAGAAGTAGAAGTAGAAGAAGAAGAAGAAGAAGAAGAAGAAGAAGAAGAAGAAAAGAAGAAGTAGAAGTAGAAGAAGAAGAAGAAGAAGAAGAAGAAGAAGAAGAAAAGAAGAAGTAGAAGTAGAAGTAGAAGAAGAAGAAGAAGAAGAAGAAGAAGAAGAAGAAGAAGAAGAAGAAGAAGAAGAAGAAGAAGAAGAAGAAGATCATGAAGGATCAATGGATTGCACACCCTTACTCTGTATAATAGAAGGCCAGATCCTGAAGTTGAAACTCAAGTCCTTTGGCCACCTAATGAGAAGGAAGGACTCACTGGAGAAGAGCCTGATGCTGGGAAAGATGGAGGGCAAGAGAAGAAGGGGACGACAGAGAATGAGATGGCTGGATGGAGTCACTGAAGCAGTAGGCATGAGCTGAAATGGACTCCAGAAGATGGTAGAGGACAGGAAGACCTGGAGGAACGTTGTCCATGGGGTCGCGATGGGTCGGACATGACTTCGCAATTAACAACACTCTGTATAATACTGTAGTGAACTTTGTGCAAAAACCACTTTGGGGAAAAAAATGGTTGAATTTGTTCCTAAATGAAGTAATACTATAATTACAAGAGAAACCCTCCGCTAAATATACAGACCAGATGTTGTTGGATTCTGTTCCCTTTGCAAGTTTATGCTCAATAGTTACGCAACTGCATGAGGATGTCAGCCATGTTCCAAAGCTGCAAATTGTTAGAGGGTCCATAATTTTCCTTGGATGTGGATCTGGTGGCTTTTGACCATCCAATAAAGGAGGATGAAGAACAAGAAGAAGGAAGGGGAAATGAGGAGTTTTGGGAAGTTGGTTGGAGTTAATTGGTCAAAATACAATGTGCCAAATCTCCACTCTTAACATGTTGATGTTGCTTCCTTCTAGTTCAATGGTTAATGTTGACCTTGAGTTCTCTCTGGCCATTTTCTCACTAGTAACTGGCATGATGCAAGAACAGAGCTGGAAGGGAACCTGGATGATTGTTCTCACTCTTAGGAAATTTCTCCTTATTATTTCTTCTTTATTAGTTTCCATCCCTTGCTTCTTGTCCAGCCCTCAGGTGCTTTGGAGAATGGGTTGACCCCCCTCTTCTTTGTGGTTGAACTAGAAGACACTCTCTAGGGTGTGAATGGGGATCTTGCCTTAAGTTCACTTCCTTAGGCATCACAACTTCCCCAAAGTCAGTGTTACAACTGCTGGATTGACATTAGACCACTTCTGGATAGGATTTTGGACTTATGCACCCTATATTATCATGCATTCTCATGCACTGGTTTTTTCCTGCCATCCATGGAGTCAAGGAGAATCTCTTTCCTAAATCAGCTTCTCTAGAATTCCATCTGCTCTGCTATTTTTTTTATAGATAAAACCAAGGATTTGCTGTAAAGCCCTGGGTTTTAAGGAGGGCTGTGCAAGTATGGTATTTGGAGATTTGATTTGATTCAAAGGTGATTTTTGGACTGCATCGCTGTTCTGCTCTGATTCTCCAAATCAGAAAGTCAGCTTAAAGCACCGGATTGAATTGGATTGAGCCGAGTGATGTGCACATGTCTGCCCTTGGACCGAAACAGCTTTTTTGGGGGGGAGGAAAGGGGGGAATCAATTCAGAATCCAAATGAAATCAACTTGATGATTTAATTTGAATGCCTAAGATGAACAGTCAATCAAATTGGATCATTTTGCTGAATCAAATCAATGATTTGAGCCGTGATTGGTTTGATTAACACTGCAGAATTTCATAATGCACACTATTGTAAAGCAGGGCCATTAAAGGGCTGGCTGCAGGAACTGCTGGAGTCTTAGAGATAGCATAATAAGAAAAAGCTGGGGAAGAAAGAGAAGAAGCACCAGCTGTTGCTCCTACTGACCAGAAACTGTCTCAGGCTGAATCTCCCAATTGCAGTTGCCCGAGGAGACCCCAGGAGGAGAAGCAGGAAGATGGTGGCAGCCATCATGGAAGCCACCACGACAGCAATGGGGGCAGGCTGGTGCCCTGGCTGTACCCGTTCCTGCCCCTTATCCTAAAGGTTCTTTTTCAGGAGGCAACTGGACTTTCTTTGTTTTTCTTTGAAGAGGTTTCGCTTCTCATCCAAGAAAATTCTTCAGCTCTGAGTGGATGATGGGGAATGGAAAGATCTAGTCAGAGCTGAAGAAGCTTCTTGGATGAGAAGCGAAACATCTTCAGAGAAAAACAAGAAAGGCCAGTTGCCTCCTGAAAAGGCACCTTTGGGACAACCAGGACCTGGATGATGGAGAATCTTCGCAGACATCCTGCCCCTTACTCCAGGTCAGGATGGTGATCATCAGAAGTCTCTGAGCAGTTTAGTATTGGCTATGCAGTCTAGTTGAGCTGCTCCATCTGTAGCCAGATAGAAATCTTAGAAAGAATGTGACACCCTAGATTGAACTAGCTAGGTATGACCTCATCTCCTTGGCTGTCCCTCTTCCGGATCTGAAAGACAACGTGAGAACTCCCTAAGGCAGTGGTGGTGAACCTATGGCACGCATGCCAGAGGTGGCACTCAGAGCGCTCTCTGTGGGCACGCGTGCCATTGCCCCAGCCCCACCTCCCACTGCAGCCCCCTCCTCACCAGCAGCCCTCCCAAAGAGTCACCTCTGGATGCGGCCCATGCGGAGCAGCGCAGCCAAGGACACGGCAGCTGG